CTTTCCAAGATGGCTTCCATTCCCACTTACCACAAGGAATGAATCCTCTTTTACACAGCTTAGAAGCTTCAGAGTATGGAATAAGAATCACAGATTTTGATTGAGCTGAAGTCTCTGCTATGCATTGTTGCTACTAGTATTGCTCCATTTAGCCCATGGAACAATGATCCTTGAATCCCAAAGGTCAGTGCTGCTTATCAGAAAGGTCAAGAAAACCTACAAGCAAACCATGGATTTAGTATTATGATGCAATGGTGGCTGTAACAACATATGAAGTTGGCTATTGGCCAAGCAGCCGTAAATGTACAGAATCTTGTGGAGGTTTTTTGGATTCTTTTTCCCCTCACCTAAATGAAAAGAGAATCCTTACTCCTCTTCTTTCTCTTTCTGAGAAGTGTGTAAGGATTAAGCAGCTAAGCAGCATCAAAACACCTCTGAAGAAGTAAAGTCTGCAGAAATTATGAATTTTAAGATGGCAGTTACAATGTTTAATCATGGCTTATTTAACAGAAAATTAGTTTTTGAGGGGGAAGGCTTTGTAGAATAAACTTCTTCCTTCAGGGAACTGAAGAAATTTAATTTTTTGTTTCTTTGCCTCTGCCATAAAAGAAATACATCTCCAAGGTCAGTTTTCATGTCCTTTGGAAGCAGTACTGCTGTTCTTCCAATCCACTATGATTTAGGTTTTCTTCCCATGTGTTTTGTTTTTTTAATCAGCCTCCCTCGACTCCACCAACACCTACCCCTCCTCTTTGCTGCTCCTCACCACCCCCAAAGAAAAACATATACTTCCTGTCTTCTTCAGCAGGGTACGCTTGCTTGTCTGTCTTATTTCAGTACATATGTTCTGTGGAAGAATTTAATGGGTTTTGTTGCTCGTTTATTGATACTTACCATAAACAGACTTCTTCCCTCCTACCCTTGCTCTGACTGGCCTAATACTTTATCAGGATTGTTGGAATGTAAAGGTGCTTTAAGTGCCTCTTCCTGGGGTAATGAGTCATACTTGGACTTCAGTAGGATTTCCATCATGTTGCAGGCTGTTTCAAGACATTGCTTTTCACATCAAGAGGTTGTGCCAAGCTCTCACACCAAGGCAGGAGAACAAATATCTGTTGTTCATTCCTGCAAAGCAGCACACTACTGAGTCACTTGGCTTCTGTTCAAAGGAAAATGAGGGAAGATCTTCTCATATCCATCTTTTCCTGCAGCAAAATCTGGAATCATGAGCATTGGGCGGCAGGTGCTGCAGTCTCAAGGCAAAACAGCCCTCCTTCCCATTGGAATGTTATTGGTGTTGTCTTGTGTCCCAGCAGTTGGAGGTATTCAGCTGGACCTGGAGGCAGAGCAGAAAGCAGTTTGACTTCTGGTGACCTGAAGTGAAATTTGAGCGGAGGTAAAACTTAGCTTCTGTGGTGAATAGACTTGGCACTAATACAATGAGAATTCTGCAGCATGAGTTCTAAAATGTTTCCAGACTAACTTGCCAAGATGAGTGTGAAAAGAAACATTAATGGTGAGACTTGGAATATGTAAGCAGTTGGCTAAGTATTTCTGACTTGTTTATGGAGAGGGAGAGGAGATGGTTTCAATGGGAGCAAATGTTCTAGTGTTAGGGTGATCTCTGCATTAGCATCTGTCTTATGCCTCTGGCAAACTGGCAAGTTATTGGTTGATGTGTAGCCTACCTATACACGTGGTGCAAACAGCTCACTGCCCTTTAATGCGATTACATGCCAGTTCAGTGGCTCTCCATTGGAAGCCTCAAGAGCAGACCATGTGGAGAGCAGAGGTTTGGGCCAATTCAGCAAGACCTGTTCCCTGATAGAGAGCAAGAAGAACTCCAGATGAGACTTGGCTTTCTGGGTTCAGACCTGGCTCTGATGTGGCCTTCACCTGCGAGAGACAACCAGGCTGCCAGTATAATGTCTGGGGAGCTGCATCATGTATTCACCAGTACCTCTCAACGTGAGCCTGCACCTTCCGAAGTTTCTTTTTACTGCCACTGATAACTTCAGGTTTTCAGTGACAGGTGAGAATACAAGGAATACAAGTGGCTGTTGTCCACAAACAAGCCTTGTTCTTGAGTTATGTTCTCAGGTAACTTTTTTTTTTTTTTTTAGTATGGTGCTTTTCTAGTTGTCCTAGGCTTATCTATAGAAAGCTAGTGTGCTACAGCAGATCCTCCAAAGACTTTGCGGACTGCTGTTCTGGGGCTTTTGAATATAGAATATTTGAATCCACATTTCAGAAGCTGTGCTGCTCATAACTCTGCTCTGACTATCCTAGTTGAAGATAGGTTAGCCTGTTTCCTAACTACTGAAACACTCCCTCTCCCTGCAGGGCATTTTGTTTCTACAGGAGAGCCAGATGCAAATAGTGGACTCTAGCAAGGGATTGTTGTTTGCCTGCTTGCTTTAATTAAACATCCAGATCTTTCTGATGATAAATGTTTAGTTTGTCTGCGTGCCTTGAAAACTTCATACCAGAAACATCTGTGATTTCCAGATAAAGTTACTTCAATGCTAAGATCCTTGGAGCTGGAATTATCTAGTAGATTTGAGTCATGCAAATGTAGTGAGAATAGCATCACAGTAGTATTCACTCCAGGTTGGCTATAGTTTTGTGTGTTGTGTAGTTGATAGCAGGTTGCATTTTTTATGTGATTAGCAGGAAATGAAATCCAGGTCACTAGGATTGAAGCTGTTTAAATGCTGACTTCTGGGAAGAGGGCATAAGTGAAGCAACCATCTGGAGGAGACCTGTAGACTGAATCCAGAGGTACAGGGGCAGAAATTCTTAAAGCTGACAGCTGTGCTCTGTACACTTCTATTCCAGCACAGTGGTTACCTGTTAATGTGTTAAACAAATGAAGAATCTGCTGGGCTTCCTTCAAATAGCTGTGTATCTGAACAAAGTTAAGTGCACACACAAATGACCTTGAAAAATCATTGTACTTTCATTCAAGGGCTTCTATCAACAGCCATTTGTTGGGGTTAAGAGCATTGCTAAGTATTTTGCCCCATGCTTAAGGAAATAGGGTGAAGCTTTATCCACCAGTATGAACAGTTTAAATACTATATTGAGCTCTGTACTGTTGAATGGAGATGGGTGCTGTGTAAAATCCCAGCAGCAGAATTCTGTCATCTAACCTGAGTTCTGCTCTGAGGCTTGTCAGGTACAAAGGGTACCTGATAGCCCTTGTACTTTGCTTAAAAGTCAATTTCAGTGCTAGCTTTTCAAAAGTTGGCCTTGCGTGGCAGTACTGTTTCCACGTTACCTTCATAGTCAGATTTGGCTCAGTAGGATAGGGCTTTGGTGGTAGAGAAAGCAACTGAGGAGCTGGTAGGACTGTCATTTTAAATTCTGCAGCAGTCCTGAAATCTGTAGCTGAAGTTGAGATGGGGTCTGTTTTATCACAGTTGCACCTGATATGTGTGGGTCAGTACGCTTTGGAATCCGACATGCTGGTGAGTCAAAACAGCTTTGTTGTGCTGCAGTTGATTAGTCTATAAGTTAATGTGTCTGTATCTAGTTACATTATAAATCTCTATTTCTCAGTGGGACATGCATAAATTACTGTTTGCTGTCAGAGTGATAAGGAAGCTCATGCCTGTGTTACCATAGGTGCTGTGAACTCCTTGCATGTAAAAAGTTTAACAGCTTTCCCAGTAGAACAATAGAGGTTGAAAAAATCAGGGAATTTATATGACTTGGTGCTTTGTCTCTTGTGGGCTAAGACTCTTTCTGCATGTTGGATGTAGGCAAGCAAGATGTGTTCCTACTGTGATGCAGGAACCTGCCTTTACTTCCCAACCTGCCCACTGTCTATAGCTCATTCTCTTTCGCCAGACAGGAAAACAAAAACTTTCTTGCAAGTGCTTAACTTTAGGGAATCTTTCTGTGTCTGACATTCCTTACAGAACTGTTGCAAGAGGACTCTTACATTTTTTCATATTATCATATTTCATCCAAAGAAATGTTGCAAAGGGGCTGTAAAATGGTGTTGAGTTTATTACTGCCTGGTGACGCTTACAGGTGTGCTTGATTTAGGGAAAAAGGTTTTTTTATGTTATCAGAACTTTTTTTTTTTTTTAAGAGTGCAACTACATTGTTTGACCTCTCGTTACTGCATGCTTTAGTTTGAGATGAAGGAAATACCTATTGGCATCTATACATTGTAGAAGATTGCATCCTCCTGGAAGGAAAGCTGTAGAAGCTCACGTACTGGGTTCTGTAAGCAAGTAGTACTGTCTTCAAAGTTTCTTTTTGTTGGCTTTATAGCTGTTCTGTTTTCTTGATGATATATCCCCTAACTCTCCAAACTCACCTCAGGAATACGGTGCATCTAGGAGCAATGCTGTTGAATTATTTAAGACTATTAAGAGGTTTAGTGTGGCTGCTGGAAAGGTTACCGTGAGGTATCTGCTTGTCCTGTGGAGCTTTGTCTGTTCTGTATGTGAGTTTGTCAGACTTGTTCACTAAATGGGAAGAAGAATATCAAGTTCAGTCTTGTATCTCATAACCTTGTGTTCCCAGGTGTCTCAGTTTCTGTACCTTGCTGGTCAGGTTCTTGGTTTTACACAGGAGTCAAAACTCCTGCAGCCTGATTCTGTTATAACTGCTGATTTGCGAGAATAAGAATTATTTGTGGGGGTCTTCCAGCCTGCTAGCAAAATAAGTTAATTCAAAACTTTGGTTGTTTCTTCTTCCAGTAGCTAATTAATTTAACGAGCATAATTCTATAGAAATGTAGTTTTCTTTATCAGCGGTAAGAGTTCAAAGGATAATATTAATAAAAGTGAAAAAATCAAAAGAAGTGAAATTAACACAGTTTTGGGCTCCCTGGTCATTCCAGTAACTCTTTTAGCACTTAGAGCTGTCATTCTTAGGGGTTGCATGAAAACCATGGATGTTAGTTGAATGCTCTAAAATTATTTACTGTAATGATAAGGCATGGTTAGTAGTGATGCTGATGCAATTTTCTTTCTTGCCAACAGAGATTCAGAAGCAGGAAGGCATGAAGTCCCATCAGAACAACCTGCAGCTCTATGACACACCCTATGAACCAGAAGGCAGTGGTGTGGAATCCGATTCTGAAAGTGTGGCGAGTCACCGTTTACGAGAAAACAAATTGCCCCAGGATGATGACAGGCCTGCAGATGAGTATGATCAGCCATGGGAGTGGAACAAAGTCACCATCCCAGCTCTGGCAGGTAGGATCCCTAGATCGGGACCAGGAAATCCTCTCTCACACTCATGGCATATGTACTTGACTTTGGGAGAATTCAAGTATTTCTGCTCCTTTGATGTGTGTGTGGGGAGAAATCTCTGAAAAGCAAATGTGGGTAGTCTCAAATCTTCACCTGCTGCAGAAATGTGGAACGTTGCACTTCTTGTTTGGTGCTTCAGCTGACCTGTTGTCAACCATGTCAGCACTTGGTTTGTGTTAGTAAAACTTCTGTTTCTCCCACTCCTTGCCCCTACCCCCAATTCAATGGTTGTGATGTAGATAGTGTTTATTGTTGAGTGGCTCTATGATGAGGCAGTTGCTTTGCAAGGTCTTTAAATGTGGGGCAGTTCTTAAAGGCGCAGGACAAAAAATAGCTGTGTAATGTGCATGCAGTAACATGCTTCTACTCAGTGATGAGTTTCTTGGTATTTGGAGTATTTTCATTATAATTGCAAGAGATCTGATACAAACTGTTTTCTGTCTCTGAATGTCTGTGCTTGGTGTTGGTTACACTGCTCCTTCTTTTTCCTTTCTGTTGTTTTGTGGAAATGGCTGAGGGGGGCTTCATTCAGTGAGGATGTGATTCTAAAGGCCAAGGCTTTTTCTTTTGTAAAGCTTCTGTGTGCCCAGCAAAGCGCAGCTATATCAGCTGGTGCAACCATGTTCCAGAATGCTCTTGTGGGGTGCTAGATTCATACGTGCTCTGTGATTTTCCCCTGAATGGCATGTTCTAGTGAAAAGCTGTGTCTAGGAGCTTGTTCCCCTTTCTTTTTAGGAGTCAGCTTGGAAGAAAGCTTGGAAAGGAGAGTTGTGTGTAGTGATGATTGTGGGGATGAGGAGGGAAGAAAAAAGATATGGCTCTGGGAGGGAGCATGGTAGAAGCCTGAAAGCAATGATTAGTACTCAGGGTGCATTTACCCTGTGTAAATCCTGCTTGACAAACCTGTTTGCTTTCTGTGTTGAAACTACTAGATCTGTTAATTGAAGGAGAGCAGTAGGTGTCATCTATTCAGCATGCTGTGCTGTGGCATCAGCTGTGTTACCTGGTTTGGAATGCTAGATGTTAGACGGGTGGACTACTAGATTTGTGAAAACCTGTCAGGGTCATTGACCTCAAAGGGTAGTGCTCAGTGATTCATACTCTTCCTGGAGTCTGGTTACAAGTGTGATTCCTCAGAGAATCTGTTCTGGAACCCCTCCTGTTTAGCATCTTTATCAGTAATCCAGAAGAGGAGGAGGGGAAATGCATCTCATCAAGTCTGGATTGATATCAAATGGGGAGGGTGTGTGTGTGCAGAGCTGCCATTCAAAGGGACCACCATTCAGAGGGACCTGGACAGGCTGGAGAAATGGGCTGACAACAACCTTACAAAATCCAACCAGGACAAACTCAAAGACCTGTATCTGGAGCAGACTAACCCCCCTGCAAAGATATGGACTGAGGACTGGCAGACTTGCTGGGTTACAGCTTTGCTGGAAGGGGCTTAAGGAGTCCTGGGGAAAGTGGACTAAATGTGGCGAGCAGTACTCCCCAACATTGATGAAGGCTAGCAGCGTCCTGGCCTGTGTGAACAAGAGCATAGCAGTAGATCAAGCAAAGTGACTGTTCCTCTTTACTTCACATTTCTTGGACAACATGTGTAATGCTGTGTCCAATACTCTGATGCAAGAAGGATGTTGATAAATGTTGCTGTCAGCAGAGAGCCACCAAAATGACAGGAAACTGCAGCACATGACTTGTGAGGAGATGCTGAGACAACTGGGCTTGCTTTGCCTGGAGAAGAGAAAGCTTTGAGGGAGATGTAATAGCAACTTCCCAATGCCTATGAGGAGATCTTTGAGAAGAGGGAGCCAGGTTCTTCACAAATGAGCAGGTGTGTGATGGGAAGATGAGACATAAGTTGAATCAGGGGAGATTCTGACTCAATATGAGGAAGTTTTTTCTCTGCAAGGACAGTCAAGCATTGGAACCAATTGTCCAAGGACCTCTTGCAGTCTCCATCTTTAGATTTTTGTGTGAAGGGATGACGGGATAAAGTTCTGAACAACCTGATCTGATCACATAGCAGACCTTGCCTTGAGCAGGTTGGACTAGACACCTCCCACGGTCCCTTTCCACCTGAATTATTCTGTGATTTTGCAATTCTGTGTGCCATGATATTGCCACACTACAGAAATGAGAAGTGACTTCTCTCCACAGCTATACAGGGCTACTGTTCTGTAAACAGAGCCTGTTGGGAAAATACCTTTCTTGGGTGTTTCTGACCTGATCCACTAATAGGTAGATGGACATGGGTGACAGAAATGTGTTTTTCTTCTAGCACTGTGGAGTAGAGCAGTGGCAATCTGTTTGAGAGTGATTCCGCCTCTCTTCTTCATTTGTTCTTACATCTGTAGGTTGTGGTTGATTTGGGTTTGTTTCCAAGCCAAGCTGATGTCTGCAGTATCCATTCTGTGACATGTGTCTCTTGCTCCCACCCACATGGATGAATCTGAAGCAGCTGCTTAAAAAGAAACCTCTTGCTTAGCATCCCTTTTTCTTTTGTTGGGCTCCTATGGAACAGAAGAGGAGGTTAAAGAAAACTGATTTCTACTTCGAGCAGCATGATTTGCTCTGGTATGTAAGCTGTTAATAATCTTATGGAGTTCCAGGCTCAGTTGCTTTCCCATTAAGCATATGCTGATAGTTCTTTTGAGCCTGGATCTAAACCAGCATTCAGCTCTGCTGGATGCTGTGCAGGTAAAGTAGTCTTTTTCCCTAAAGAGCATGAACTCCAACATAAAAGTCTAACCTGCTTCTGTGGCTTCTAGTAGGATATACAGTTCTGCTGCTGAGCTCTGCCTGGTGGAAGCAGGCTTTGGTTCAGGCTTGCCTGAGCAGACTCATCCCCTTTGCTGGACCAATTAAAATGCTTGCAAGACTTGTGCTGGGAGATTGCCGGGCTGTGAGATCCTGGCTATGATTTGGGATATCTATTGTGTGTCAAGGTAGGCTAATCAACAGAGATGTGTATCACTAGGTTTCCAGTGCCAAAATGGCTATTCTGCAGATGCTGAATGTCATTCTGGTATTTGTTTGTAAAGCCTTCTGCTTTGGGTTTGTGCTATGGCATTCGTGTCTGCCCCAGTTCAGCAGATATTTCCATGCCTTTTCATGTGTCCTTATGATGGCAGAAATGTTGCCTTTGCGTAGAGCATATGTGCAGCCTCCATCTCCTGACAGGTGAGTCTTATTACACAGCAGCATGGTCCACAGTAACTCTATTGTAGAGGTGGGGTGTCTGCTACCTGGAAGGATCCACAAGCTACCCACAGCACATGTAGGGGCAGCGCAGAGCCATAAGCAGTGAATTTGCAGTGGGTCTTAGGCTGCTCTCTGCATTCTTTTCCAGGGAATTTCTCTATTCTTCATTCTAGATTCTGGAGGGGTTTCCATCGTTTCCCCTCTGCCACCACGTCTGCTCCTTGCTTCCTCCTTTCTTTTGTTTGTGGTCATCTTTTCCCCTTTCTTTTGTCCCACAGAGCTGCATCTATGTCTAGACTCTCACTTATCCTCCTACCTGACACCTGGTCCCACTCTGTTACCTTCTTAGATCTCCTTGGGATTTTTCTTCTTCCACCTTCAGACATCTGCTCCCTATCACTCAAGACCCTCACCTATTAGCTGTGTGTGCATTTCTACCCATGAGGAAGAAGGATGGTGTGCTCCCTCAATCTTCCCTTCCTTCTAGCCCTCTGGGCTAGGCCAGATGCCATGGGAATGTCTGGGCTACAGTGACTACAGATTGCTGTTGAAGACCTTCTGCAAGGAAGCTGAACAGTTAATTCTTGCTGACTGTGTTAGCTGAAAGGCTTCCAGTAATTTTTTGCCAACCTGTCCAGTGTTTGCTTGGCTCGAGGCACGTTCAGTCGTTCTTACCTGTGTTCTTGGACAGTTTGGGGTTAGAGCTCCTTTTGAGCACAGAATATTTTGTTCGAAGGTGACAGAGAGTAAGTAAAGCCTTTGGACTGCATGAAAGAGCAGGGAGGAACAAATGCTCGAGCAGGTGACACTTAAGTCTTCAAAGGTGAAATTATTTAGAGCTCTTTATTTCTCTGCAGTTTGTTTCTGTGGTTTAGCATAGCAGAGGGATTCTGTGAGTTGAGTTTTTCCTTACATACTAGTTTTGATAATTTTCCAAAGGTTAAGAGTAGTATCAGAGTTACTGTGAGCTTCCCACACAAGGATGGTGATTGTATGCTACTCAGAAGTAATTTTTCTTTCAAAGTATGCAAAATAACTAAACCAGAAACTTCATCATTTAGCAACACTGAGATACAAGCTGTGGTACCAGTACACATCTGTCTGCAGCGAGATCATGCTTTACAGATTTCTCAATTAGTACTACAGCAGCCACAGAAATGGGATTATTAGTTTTAAAAGTTATTGTCTTAAGAGTCATATGTGTGCATATGGAAATCTTAGACCTTATTCTTCATGTATGGTGCATATTATATGTAGTGGCTAATTTTTAATTCACTGAATCCACAGAACAAATTTATTAGTTTATACTGCATACTACTGCATACTTTTTTGTGCACAGCTCATTTGGTGTTTGTTAAGTCTTTGAGCTCTGTAATCATCTTCATGCCTACTGTTTTGGTCTTTGTCAGGTAAATTCTGAAACTGTTTTTGAGTGTTGATTTTAAAAAAAAAGAATCTTATTTTTGTTGATTTTTTTCTTCATCTGTGGTTTTTAGCTTGTCTACATGTAACTAAATTAATAAGGCACAATCCATCCAATATGAGATTTTATGATTGGCCTATGTGTAAATATTCTTCTAAGCATTATGTAATTAACACTTATGAAAGCACACTAAATGAAAATATTGCTTTACAAAAGTAACAGACTTAAGAAGTTGTTTAACTAAAAAGAGTTACGATATGGTTGAATTTCTTATGGGTTCAGCACGCAGAGTTGTGTTGTAAAATGCTAAGAGAGTAAACATTTTTGAGATTAATTAGATTTCTTTGATTGCATCTGTCATTCATTATAACTTTAGTATGTCTTCGGTGCCTGATTATTTGTTACAAAGGAATGCATAAGGATTGGCTGCAAGCATAGATTCAAGCTGCTGTCTCACCTGGTGTCTCTATCCTTAATCTAACTCGTAGGAATTATAAGTGTTTAAATTAAGGAAAGAAAAGGTCCAACTGCTAAGTTTGAAACCATGGAAAGTTTGCAGTGGAGAAGTATTGACCCTCTGCCAAGATGTGTGAAGTGCTTTTCTGACTAATTGTGTACCGTAGTTCTGTAATGTAGCTAGCTAATGTAGCTAGACCAGGTGGGGTTTTTTTCATTTCTTAGCTGAAGTGGATTTCTCTGAAGAGCACAATGTTGGTCGAAGTGGTATTAGAAATTCTAGCTGTGGGCAAGTTGCACTTTAGAGGCCCACAACTACCATCTCCCAACTACTTGGAGTTGTGGAGGCTGTGAACCTGAAGGGACCCTCTGCTGAAACTTCCCTGTTTGAGAAGTTCATCTGACGGGAACAACAGACTTTTGTGATGTGAAGTACAGACACAAAGAGAGTTATGCAGCAAATGTTTTGGTTTGACAGGTGATAGGCCTAGAAAACAAACCAAAATGGCAAGTAACATGTCATCGTGTAACCCCAGCTGGCGATTAAGCACCATACAGGCGCTTGCTCACTCATCCCCACACCACCACTAACCCACCCACACCCTCCCCGCAAATGGCATGGGGGAGAGAATCAGGAAAAAAGGTAAAACTCATGGGTTGAGATAAAGACAGTTTAATAGGACAGAAAAGGAAGGGAAAATAATAACAACAACAATAACAGAATATACAAAACAAGTGATGCACAATACAATTGCTCACCACCCACTGATCAATGCCTAGCCAATCCCTGAGCCGTGGTGTCCCCTGGCCAACTCCCCCCAGTTTATGTACTGGGCGTGACGTCATATAGTACGGAATACCCCTTTGGCTCCTTCGGGTCAGCTGTCCTTGATGTGTCCCCTCCCAGGTTCTTCTGTACCCCCAGCCTCTGCTGGCAAGGCAGCATGAGAAGCTGAAAAGTCCTTGACTTAGTATAAACACTGCTTAGCAGCAACTAAAACATCAGTGTGTTATCAACGTTATTGTCTTCCTGAATCCAAAACACAGCACTATAGCAGGTACTAGGAAGAAAATTAACTTTATGCCAGCCAAAACCAGGACACAACACTAGAATTACCAAGAAGTTACTCATGCCAGTCTTTTAAGGAAAACATTTGTTCTTCTGCCATGATTTCAAGATTTATTGCTGAAGCATGGATAAAACCTGTTTATCTCCAACCTGGAGTTTGAGATGTGCCAGACTGGAAGTGTGCACAAGCTGTGAAGTCTGCTCAGGTTGAGGGGAGCATGTCTGCACTGTGGCTCCTAAGTACAGGACTGGGGCTGGGGCTGGTGTCGTACTGACGTTGTGGAGCAAGCTGTGTTTAGCCTTCCCCAGGGACTTCTGCTGTTAACTGCAGTGCTGAAAGATGTGTCTCTGTGTAGCAGAGCTGGAGTGCAGCGTTTTGACTGGTTGCAGCTCAAGTTCTTTGACAAACAAATTTGGTTTTGTTTCATTGGAGGCTGTACAGCTGAAGCTGAAATGAGTTTTTCATGGCTTTTATGGGAAGTGGGCAGGATTTGTTAGACCTTCTGCTGAGCTGGGCAAACTGATTTGCCCAGAAGAGCTGAGGATGGCAAAGTAACAGGAACAAAGTAGCTTGCTGGTACATAAGTCTGGCTAGAAAAGGAGATAGCAACATCAGAGACCCCATTCATGAATGTCAGGCTGACACTGGCTCCTATTTGAGTGTGTGAGAAATCAGACCTTTCCAGGCTGTCATGTGGGCATAGTAAACCTTTGGGTAAAGGAAATGCATGTGAAGTCTGTAGAGCCCATCCCGGTATTGCTTTACAAAATAAGTGGCCCTCTGTTACGAAGAGGGCCATCTGGTAGTAGTTTTCGGCACTGATCATGGACTCCTTGAAGGAGGATCTGTAGATGCAAAACTTAGTCACCTCTGCTGGCTGCAACTGCTGTTGCACAGAAAGCTGGTGCCTAGGACCCTGGGGGACTTCAAGCAGGGGAGTTCTGGTGTGCCACCATCAGAGAGGTATGGCACCAACTACAGGGAAGTGGAAGAGAGGCCACATGCAGAGTGAGGAAGGGTCAGGTATGACATCAGTTCCATAATTTTAATGGCTCTGTAAACAGAAGTACAATAGCAATAAAAAACTTTACACTCCCAGCTGCATGGAATTGAGCTTCTGAACCTTCAGTATGTATACTACAGCTTCGGTTAAGAGGGGCTTTATAGCAACCGAAACTCAGTCCTGATAACAACATTGTGTGGGTTGGTGCCTGATGGGGTATCACTCTTTTCAGTTTAATCTGCCTGGATATCCCTTTCAGACTGATTCTGCCTACCAATTTAATTCACACACACAAAAAAAAAATAAAAAAGAAATAGGGCAGGAGTGCAGAGACATGTCTGAGGTTTTCAGACAGAGAAAACATTCAAAAAGCATCTGAAATTTAACTTCGTGCTGATTGGAGAACAGATCCTACTTCTAACCATCATGTTGTAAAGATACTGCTGTTTACAATCAGAACTGAGTTTCATGTTTGTTTTGTGAACTGAATTTATTGGTGTTTGCAAGACATTGCTTGGTCCGAAGCTGACATTAAGTTCACCAGTCTTCAAAGAGTTCCCAAGTTACATCCAGGTGTTTTTCTTACAGTTGAAATAATAGTGCTGTTCATATATGTCACTGGCAAGTATACACACGCAATGTTTCTCCTTGTTATGCTAATCAGCTTTCATTATCCAGTAATGAGGTTAAATCTGAGTTTCCATTTTAAGAAATAACCAGCATATTTCTGCCATGCATACTTCAGAATATGATTGAATACCTTTGCCTAATTTTTGTGATAATTTGTGCCTAATTCCTCTGAGTAAAGGGGGAATTTGGGAGTGTCCTAAGCCCCATGAGGAAAGCATATTAAAATAACAGAAAAAAATACTCCAAAACATTTTTCATATCCAACACATCTCTATTCTGTATGCACAATTTTTTTGAACATTACAGCTGTCTTCCTCTTATACAGCATTGCTTTAAAACAGTAAGCATTACCAGCCACATGCCTAACTGGCTGTGTGTTAGAATAAATTGAGTTCTAAATGCATGAGATCTATAACATGCTGTTGTAAGAAGCCCCTTTAATTGTCCTTGTAACATTTTCTCTGATATTGCTGTTGAAATTCACAGAGAAGGTGACTTCACTGTGTATGTTTGTGCACATTGTGATGCCTGCTGATACAGTGAATTTTTCTGTCTGGTCCCCACTAGGTGACCTTAAAACAATAAGCCATCTGCATCTGGGAGTGTTAATTTTTGATGAAGAAGAAACCACAGAAGGCAGTGAGATTCAGGAATGTGGTGTGGGTAGCTCCTTTCACTGTTTCTGTCAATATTCTGTCCTTTAATGTTTTTAAATTACAGATATGTACAATCTGTAACTGCAAGTGTAATGATGCTGATACGCAATATCTGTGCTTTGCTACAGATATTGCAGTGGTCTAAGAAACTACAGCTTTACAAAATAAGTCGTCTTGCTTTTCTTGGAATAATATAGTTTGTGAGAGAAAATAACAAATGCCATTTTCCATTTTCATCACTTGTACTCTAATGTTTCAAGACAAAAGCTTTGTGCCAGCATTGTATAAGTGGATATGCTTTTAATTCATTGCTGCTTGCCAGTATTTCTGACGTGGCTAGATGGGTGTTGGCTGTCTGGATTTGCACCCAGATCACTGTTAGGATGATTCCACATAAACTGAGGCAAGCTGGGTTCTTGATGCTCTCAGTTGTTTGTTATTGTAATTATGGCAGGTGACTCAAAGCCTATCTTTGTTACTGTTACTTGTTTAACAGTATCATCTCTTGGGGAAGAAAGTATCAAATGTTAAGCGCTAGTTATTGTAACAAGGTTTAGAAGAGTGTGGATTTTGTTACTGGAAAAGCAAGAGAGTTTCAGGGCTATTTTGCATAGTTAGAAGCACGTTTACATGACACATACAACTTTGTAGATAAACCACTACATCTTAACGCTAGTGGGTGCATGTTTATTCTCCCTGAGAAGTGTGAAACCTCTCTAAGTCCTACAACTATTTTGGTTGTTGTTAACCTTGCCTGGAGAGGTAATTATTGTGTATCTTGCAGCCCAATTTAATGGAAGTGAGAAACGGCAAGCATCTCCTTCTCCCTCAAATGACCAGCGCAGGCGGTTAAGAGCACCTGGAGGAGGCTTTAAACCCATCAAACATGGCAGTCCAGAATTTTGTGAGATCCTGGGAGAGAGAATAGATCCAACTATTCAACTGGAAAAACAGATGTAAGTAAGCAGAGTAATTGCTTTCTAGCAGTTTGCCTCCCCACTTATAGGAGCAGCAAATGTCCCAGATCCTGCTGTCCAGCTCCCACTCCTCAGCATCCCCTGTTAGCGCTCACAAAAAAACTTCTCTTATTAATCCTGCAAAGTGTAAGTAATTTTTTTGTGGGTCAAAACAGCGTTAAACAGGAAATTCATCTCAGGAACAGTGAGTTTTATCTGCTGAGTATGTGCAGTTATTCTACTTTCAACCATGTTGATTACATTGCACTAGAGAAAACAGGTCTATATCATATTATACAAATTGTGCTTTAAAGCTGCACAAATTCCATATCTTTGTGGCTGCATAGCATGTTTCCAGTACCTCAGACGTGTCATGCATCTGGCTGTAATACTGCTCCAGGGAGAGACTGATAAGACCACTTACAAAGCTTTCACAAAAGAGACTGTTATTTCTAATCTGTTGGTGTCAAATTTGAGGGTGGTATTTAGAGGCAGTTTTGTCAGCTCCAAACTAAAGTTCTGGGGTAATTCACTGGGGTGAATGTCTGGTATCCACAAGGGTGGCCTCTGTCCTGCCTCGTTACCTTTCCTTGAATCGTTTGGAGGGACTGGCTTGTGTGATGGAATGACCCACTGTTTCCTGTATCATACCAAAGGTGCAGCCCCATAGAAGGAGCCAGAATTCCCTGTTACACAAAGAAAGAAAAATCTTCTTGTGGAGTAGTTTGCACAGGTAACACTGATATTTGTGAGCACTGAGAAGCCAATGGATTCACACAGTAAAAAGTAAGGAAGCTGTGTATTGAATCCCTGAAAGCAGTCCCACTCCAGACACTGTTATTCTAAGTTGGATGCAGAATTTATTTTCACAGGAGAGGGAGGGCATAATTTAGCATGAGTGTGAATGTGCTCTTTGTGAGAATACTTTGTTCCTGAATGGAAGTGGTATTGAAAGGATTAGCAATCCTTTTGCGCTTCGCATCCTCAGTAGGAGAGAATCCCCTCTGTCAATTCTGTCTGAGAGAAGGTAGTTCCTGAAATTCCTTTTTCTTTGACATTCTATTTTTACGTGCAATATTTGGAAACTTAAGCTTGAAACAGAGAATAATATCATTTGCATGGTGTTATAGTCCATCTAATCAACCTTAGTCTTTGAACCATTGACAGATTATATACTTATCTCCAACAGAGGAAGTAGCAACCACTGTTGTGGAATCACTCACTGATGCTGTTAGGTAAATGCCTAAAAGGCTACAAATTTGACTGTAAAATTTGGTCCTCAGATTTGGGTAGTTTCCAACCCCCCCATTGGGGCGTTGTTCACTATACCCCCAAAAAATATATTTAAAATACTGCGGGGAGTTGAGCATCTGTTAATTAACTTGACTCATAAATATACTCTTTTAGTGTAACTGCAGTTATATAAAACTGCAACTGATAATAACAACTGAAAACTACAGAGCTAGTTTTGCTTCCTTTAGTTATTCAAGTGTTAATCACGAGATTCTTTTTGTTTCTTCATTATGCAGGATCAAACCTGAAATGAATGTGCAGTTAACAATAATGTGTCAGCAAATGGAAGAGTTTAGATTTATTGTACCTTGGAATATCCATAATCATTCAAACTGCTCAATTTTTAGTAGCATGAGACCTCTCCACAGCACATGCCAAAACATTCCATCTTTCTCTACAAAAATGGAGTCTGTTTTTGTAGAAAGGAGTACAAGATCTAGAGGAAAGGAAGCATGCAAGCTGACAAGTGGATAGGTAGGTTGGGAAGTTTCCCAAACAGGCAGACATACCAAGGTGTGATAATATATCAAGAAAATACCTTTAGTTGCTTGTGATTAAGGAGTCTCTAACTATAAACTTAGTGAACTCATGGACTCAGAGGAATTAAATGAATTTGTTCCATTTACTCAGTAATAGTGAAAAGAAGAAAGTATGTTCTGCTGTTTCCATTGTCTTACTGAAAGTGAATCCCTCCCACCCTTGTATACAAGATCTGGTGACTTGCTGTTTTGCTCTGACCAATTCAGAAACAGAGTAGTGTTGTGCATTATATGAGCTGTAATAACTGATTATACTTACTGTATAATTGATGCAGCTGTCCTGTCTTCAGTGGAGCTGTGGCCACTTAGTGGCTGAAACCTGACCATTGAGAAAGTAAGGGACTTCAGGAAGAACATTCTATAAACCACAATCAGGATGCTTTCAATCCTGGGAGGAGATCTCGATAAAGGTCAAAATGTGTGATTATGTTTGAATTTTGCTTTCAGGTTTGGATTGTGTGCTTATGTTTTCCAGGATATCTCAGAAGACATGTATGTCTTCAGGTTTTTATGTCCCATGCTTTTGCTTTGGTATCTTTCACAACTTGTCATTTCACTGTTTTGTGGCCACATCATTGACATCTGAATCTTTGACCTTTCTGCACAAATACCTGTATGCTGACATTTAAAAAATAGACACACCCACAGCAAACAGACCCAATACAGTTGAAACAGCAAATTATTCAGGAACTTTAAGCTGATTATGGCACTATGCTTATCTCGCTAACTAGCTGGAATAGGAGGAATCTGAGTGTCCCATTTAAATGGGCATATGATTCACAAGCAATTACACTTTTGGGTACTGCTGTTTACTCTCAGCTGTAGCCAAAACAACTTTGAGGCATCACTTCTGAATAAGATGTTCTCCCATCAGCAGTTGTCTTCATACTTCACTGTTTTTCTTCCAACTGTTTTAAAAGCAGCTTTTGCTTTCTGGAACCAGCCCTGCATTCTTTTTCCATGAACCTCCCTGCCAACTGGGGAACACCAGATCTGAAGAGTATGTGAAATACCTCCCTCTGAATATCAGAGTCCAGGCTATCTCCCTGGTTTTGGCTAGGTCATATTTTATTTTGATTTTATTTGGCCCTTTGGGGAGAAAAGAATGAAAAAATATTTCTAGCTAATAGGAATAATTTTTAGACTCTCCCAAATCCATTTTTGGATTTACACTTAGTATTAATATTCTTCTCTTACACTCAGAAGACAAGCTAGTCTTTAAATTGCATGTTCAGAAATATCCTTTAGCAGTAAATATCTAATGTGAGATAGGGAGAACACTGCCTGGAAACATTTGCATCTGGGTGTCAATTTTATTTGTGAAGTGATGGAGCTGTCAGGGCCTCCCTTTCTAGCCTGTCTTGAATATACAATAGTATAACATTCTTTCTACTTTTCTGCAATGCAACTTTGGTTGTAACCAGGCACAATGAATTTTTAATTTGAGCACCAGCTTTTGTTTAGCACCTTCGTCAGATTTGACGATGGAGCTGACGTGAGCACAAGGTAGTTAAGAGCATGACTTCTGTCAAAGGGATCTGTCTGGTCTTTATTCACTTATCTTTTAGCTGGAACATCTCCTTTAGAGTAAGTTCAGTAGAGAAATAAAATGAGAACAAAAGGAAGAAAACGTTTTTTGCACAAGGCCAGTGACAGCTGCTGGTAATAACAGACAGAGAGCACTTCTGATGTATGCATTATCCTGCTTAGGCAGGCATGTTAGTGTCACATCGTGCTTCAAAGTGCATCTGGTAATTGCAGGAAGAGAGAGATCTTCCTCAGAGATGCGATTGACCCAGTGCAGGGCCAGGCACATTACATCGCTCAGGGAAACTTGAGGGAAGGGTCAAAGCATTTACTACTGGACTACGAGATTTTAATTGCTGATACAGAGCAGCATGTGCTGGGGAGGTTCTTTGTTTGCAGTGGTCAGTTTAGTATAAAGGACCCACCTCTCCTCTCCCCATGTCCTTTCTTCCCTGAATTGATCACACCCACTCCACCAGCAATCCACCAGATATTTACTTAAAGCGCACCAAGTTGTCACAGCTGTGCTTAGAACAAGCGCCTTTGTTATAGATCTTTACACTTTATCACTTTTCTCCTTTCTCCAAGACTTATTTTAGCAAATCTTTTCCACAATTAACTGTTCATATTATTCAGATATGATTTTCTTTTTGTTTACTTTTGTTTGTTTTCTTTTTGTTCTTTTGTATGTCAGTTGAAATACTGATATATCACAGGGATGAAATAGAGTAAATGTGTATATTGTGGATCTACTGCTTGCAAGATAGAGATTATAATGTGTTGCTCTGAGTGGGAATTTCTTGCATAAATATGTACACCAATCCTGTTGCATGATCTTCTGATTTAAATTTTTTCCTTCAGCTGACAGGAACTACAGGCCTCCACAGGTTGTAAAGTTAAATTCAGATAATGGAAGCAATGTGCTTTTTATCCATAATATGTTAGATCTTAAAGATATCCATGTGATATTAACCATTATTCATACCTTAAAGAAACAAATTAGTGAAAGGAGTATAAGTTGGAGTATATGTGTATCTTAATCTCTGTTCTTTTTCCTAGATGGTATCATGGAGCAATCAGTCGGACAGATGCAGAAAACCTGTTACGTTTATGTAAAGAATGTAGCTACCTTGTAAGAAATAGTCAAACAAGCAAGCATGACTATTGTCTTTCACTGAAGTAAGTATTTGTTAGAAAAACATAAATGTCATTTATAAGCCATAACTTCTCTGGTGCAAGAAGAGAAAATGATCCAGTCTGTTGCTGAACTGGTTCGGCTCAGAAGGGCATCCAGGGAGTTTGAGACTATCAGTCTGTTATTGTTGGGATGTCCCTGTAATACAGAGGTCTGCCTTGAACTGGAACACACCTGCTTTGGAAATGCAGTTCAGGTCCTGTTGTCCATTTTGTTATTTGATCTGTGTATTCTCTGGTATAGTAGTCCTCTAGATATTTTCAAACATTGAAGCATTAATGGCACATGCTTCAGATATATGTAGGCTTAAATTTTCCCTTAAATTCTTGTAAGTCTTGGAATACAACTTTTTTTTTTTTAAGTATTTCACTTAATTCTTGCATCAGTATAGTGATATTTGTTATTAAACCAGAGCACAACTTCAAGAGGAAAAAGTGACAAAGAAATTTCTATTTTGCAATTTCGGACATCCGGATGCCAGCCCTTAATATCCTTTAGCCAGTTGTAGTCCCTTTCCATGTTGTTACTCCAGAGTTTTCTAAACCATATTTCCTGGTGGTACTTATTTTAAGTCTCCCCATAACTTGCTCTATGATAAGGTAGCTAAATGACTGAACTTCTCCAGTCTGTGTTTTCTGGAGCATAAGATTCTTTCACTGCTCTTCTGCCATACATTTGTCGAAACTAGTGCTGACTCTGGCTGCTTGATACAGTCTATTAATTCATATACCAGCTTCCTGTGATGATGATCGTTCTCCAGTGGCTCCTCCAAAGCTCACATAATCTTCTTAAGCCCATGGTATTGCAGTTAGAATTCATGTCCTATCCATTAGCTGGTGATCAATTTTCTTTTTTTCTAGGAGCTCTCCTGACATCCTGCAAATGCAATCAGTGTTTTCTCTCAAAGTATTTAGCTGAATAAATGTTCATGTTTTTTAACCACACTTAAGTTATCATGCAAACCTGCTTCCTTTGCTAGAAACCTACTTCTATTTACTTGCCATCTTGCTGACCATTGCCATCTACAAACTACTGACAAAGTTATGTTTAATGCTGTTGTTCACATGTGATTTTTACTTACTGTCGTAAGGCTCTCTTCCCCTTCTCCCCCTGTTTAGGACACTGAGTTTATAATTCATTATTGTTTTCTAATCCTTTCCTTAATGAAGATGGTTTTCCAATCAAAGTAAGATTTTGAAGAGTTTTGGTAATTGTGGATATCTTGTTCCTTAAGCTCAAAGAGTTAAGTTATTGGACAGTTCTCAGGTTTTACTCATGATCCTTGGTTGAAGCATTTCCTCACAATCAGCCTGGTTTATGACTACTTTTAGCTGTGGAAGCTAGCCCTTCAAAGTGCAAAACACGATACTATTTTGTGTTCTGATTCCCTTGCCTAGAGGCATCTGATCAGTCTGTCATGAGGGTATTTTGCACCTATACATGCTTACCATGAGGTCAGCCTGAAATCCATCGCTTCATTCATTTCATTGTTGTGCAGTCTTACCTCCTCATTACTATTTCACTTGCAGGACCTCCTGATGCCTTCATCTTTTGTTGAATTGTGAACACAGGGTGTGCCAGAGCCTTTCTCTTGTAATAGATGGCAGTAGTGGGAACAGCTGTGTGAGGTGTGATTAAGTGGATGATCTGCCTAGCCTGGTGGCAGAGCTACAAGAGGAAGTAGAAAGGTTAAAGAGCATCAGGGAGTTTGAGAAAGAGATAGGCTGGTGGAACCATACTCTGCCCTCCCTTAGACAGAAACAGGAACAGCCACCAGAAAAAAAACAAGATCAAGGGGATCCTGTATCCTCCCCCTGCCAGGCAGAAGGCAGTAGCTTAAAGGAAAGGAGTGAATGGAGGGAAGTCCATGCTCAGGGTGGCAGACAAGCCACCTCCTTGCCTACCTCGCCTTGCCAAGTGCCTCTGTACAACAGGTGTGAGGCTTTGGATGTGGAAGGTCAGTTAATGGATGATGTGAATGATGGTCCATCTACAGCAGAGGTGTTGCCAAGGTCAGAAAGGCCTAACGCCTGTATCATGACCACCTCCACAAGGAAGAAAAGATGGATTATAGTTGTAGGTGACTCCCTTCTGAGGGGAACAGAGGGTCCAATATGCCGGACAGACCCACCTCTTAGGGAAGTCTGCTGCCTCCCTGGGGCCTGGGTTAAGGACATCAGTAGGAAACTTCATAGCCTGGTACAGCCTTCGGACTATTACCTATTATTGCTTTTCCATGTGGGTGGCGATGAAGTAACAACACATAGTCCAAGGGCAATCAAAAGAGACTTCAGGTCCTTGGGATGGTTGGTAAAGGAATCTGGAGCACAGGCAGTTTTTTCCTCTCTCCTTCCAGTTGTGGGCAGCAACACTGGAAGAAACAGATGGACCCAGTCTATTAATACATGGCTCTGTGCCTGGTGTCACTGCCACAATTTCAGGTTTTTCGATAATGAGATTGTCTACAGAGCACCAGGCCTGCTGGCATTGGATGAGATTCACCTTTCTCAAAGGGGCAAGAGGCTCTTAGCTCACAAGCTAGTGGGGCTCACTGGCAGACCTTTAAAGGAGACTTGAAGGGGGAAGGGGATAATATCAGACTTGTGCATGACAAGCTGTGGGACAACACACCAAGGTTAGAGGGACAGGATGCTAGCGAGGGCCCTCAGCCTATTGCTTTGAGACATACTGGGTACACTGGAGCACACCAGAAGTCTTAGAGATGAGCCAGAGGCTCATGAGGTAATAAGAGCCAACAGGGGAACACTGATGATGTACCTCAAAGGATTTAAGGTGTGTTCCTCTAAGAAGGCGACATGGCTGACAGCCCAGCTGAAGTGCCTCTACACCAATGCATGCAGCATGGGCAACAGACAGGAGGAGTTGGAAGCCACCATGCTTCTAGAAAGCTACCTTAGTTGCCATTACCAAAACATAGTGGGACGAATCTCATGACTGGAGTGCAGCTAAACAGGCTGTTCAGAAGGGGCAGGTGAGGAAGGGGGTGAAGGGATTGCCCTCTACATCAAGAAATGGATAGATTATGAAGAGCCTTCTCTGAAGAATAGCCATGAGCAGGTTGAAAACTTATGGGTGAGAATTAGAAACTGGGGAAACAAAGGGAATGTTGTGGATGGTGTTTACTACAGGCCACCCAGTCAAGGGGAGCCTATTGTAAGCCTTCTTACTCCAGCTACAGGAGGCATCAGGCACGCAGGTTCTCATTCTGCTGAGTGACTACAACTGTTGCCGAAAAACTCGGAATAAAGAACTTATCAACACCAATGTAGTGTAGATAAGCAGACACTTCTTTATTAACGGCCGGGTGCGCAGGCGAGTCCTCTCATGAACCACGCACCCCTGAACACCAAAATCATACACCTTATATTAAACTTACTCATACATATTCATTAGATTTCCGAGAAATGTTATGCATATTCATTAGATTTCTGGGAAGTTCTTAGCGTATGTAAATGTCCTTTACGCAGGCGCAGTGAAGGTCTCTGGTGGTCTTCAAGAGCCCTCTGGTGGTCTTCCATAGTCTTCCTCACTTTGTCCGATAGTTGACCTTTCATGTGATTCTGCGCAGTACGATTTTCGCCATCATGTATTAGATTTACATAAAAAACATTCAATGTTAATTCTTGAATTTAATATTTCTAGTGATTGGCCCTCAGTCACACCACCTTATCAATATTCTTATACTAAAACAATCATTGGTTAATCTCACTTAACTCTACTGATTGGAATTCTCGTTAATTAGATCGAAGTAAATCCTTACCAAAGCTTCTGTGGTTAACTGATTTCAGACAATACTCGAATTCTTATAGTTACACATAATACATTTTCTTAAGTTCCTAAGTTCCTATTAATTTGAAATTCTGACATCTGTTATCTAAGTTCTAAATGTTCCTACTAGATGATTTTAACCAATTCCTCTGGCCTTGGTACAGGGCTATACAGGGGATTTCACAGCAGCTGTTAGTTGTTGGTTAAATATATAGAATGCAATATATAATTTTGCTAAAATATTTCTTATTGTTCCATATTCCTATTAAAATTAAATATGATTAATTCTAACTAATAACAAATCAGTAACACAACCACCGCAACATCTTCTGGAAAAGTAGCACAGCGAGCTGTAGGCAATCCAGGAGACTTCCGGAGTGTGTTGAGGTTAACTTCTTACGGCAGGTAATAGACAGCCCTACCAGAGGGGATGCGATACTGGACCTGATGGTCACCAATGCAAGTGAGCTAATCAGAGATATCAAGATTGGAGGCAGCCCAGGCTGCAGTAATCATGCACTGGTGGAGCTCACAGTCCTGAGGGATATGGGTCAGATGAAGAGTAAAGTCAGGACCCTGAATTGTAGGAAAGCAAAATTCCATCTGTTCAATGAGTTAGTCAATAGGACCCCCTGGTAAACTGCCCTCAGGGACAAAGGAACAGAACAGAGCTGACAAATCTTTAAGGATGCTTTTCACAGAGCGTGAGAGTTCTTGCTCCCTAAGTCTAAGAAATCAGGAAAGGAAGGCAAGAGACAGACATGGATGAGTGGAGACCTGCTGGTCAAACTAAAAAGCAAGAAGGAAATGCACAGGGAAGCAGGACAGATATCCTGGGAAGAGTATAGGGACGCTGCCTGGTTGTGTAGGGATGGGGTCAGGAAGGCCAAGGCGTAGCTGGAGCTGAATTTGGCAAGGGACATAAAGGGCTTCTATAGGTATGTCAGCTAGAAAAGGAAGGCTAAAGAAAGTGTACACCCCAGTGAACACAACTGGCAAACTGGTAACAATGGACGAGGAGAAGGCTGAGGTACTTAACATCTTTTTGCCTCAGTCTTCACTGGCAATCTCTTCCCACACCTCTTGAGTGGATGGACATCAAGGCAGGGACTTGGGGAGCAAAGTCCCTCACACTGTAAGAGAAGATCAGGTTTGTGACCACCTGAGGAACCTGAACATACATAAGTCTATGGCA